TCAATCCAGAACAAATGCACTTATTATAAGAAAAAATGACTTATCTAGATTTAGATTTTTTTCCAGTGCAGAAGCTCCGTGGAGACCCACAGTTGAGCGTTAAACGTGTGTCCGACCCTCAGGACCTCGGAGGGGTGTGCAAATATCGCATAATTGTGACGGATTTCATCATTATGAATTTTTATTTATCGTCCCTAAGTTTAAAAATATCACTTCTTTTGGAGACTTTCCTTTCATGGAGGTGTGACAAGAAGTAGACATGTTTACAGTTGGCACAAACCATTCTACAGGACATACAGAGGATCTACTAAAACACAGCATGTCTCGCTAAACAGTTACTCCCTGGCATGAAACATCACACGTTCTTGATGCTTTCTTTCCCAAGCAGAGAGATGGATAGATCATCAGAAATATGGGATGATAGATGGAGTTCAATACATGCCAGTTATGGAGGTTATGGTCTGTAAAGGTCTATAGACTAAGACAGAGGTTCACTATTCAGCAGGACAGTGATTACAGCAGAGGAGCTAGAGTGGGACGGTTTAGATGAAAGAAAATGTTGCAAGACTGAAGAAATGATTTTCACAGACGCTTCCCATTCAGTCTAAGCATGAGCTAATTCACTAGAAGTCCAAAGTCTGTAGATCCTACTTTAAGCAACAGACCTGCAGCTGTAGGCGCAGTGACATGGGGTTCTAGAAAGATTTGACAGCAGCAGTTAAAACTGAAAGCTCGATTAGAATACTGTAATTGTTGATTAACAATTCTGACAAAATGCATCTCATATAAACAACTGGCAAATAGTAAGACGCAGACTGAGATCATGTTACAATAAGAGCTCAGTTTAAATAAAAGCAGGACAGATGGAAAAAAATGTATTGAGTTGCAATATGAGCCCAATTAAGCATCTTTCCATAGATTTTGATGTCTGCTGAGAGAGATAACTTGTTTTTGGTTTTTTTACCTAACATGAGAGGTGATGCCGAACCATCAACAGGTAAACAGAAGATGAAAGCTTTAACTCCTGAAAACAGAAAGCTTTAAGTTCTGTTACAGCTTTCTGTAAATGTACAAGTACAGCGTGTGTGTTATGTCTAACGCAGTAGACCAAATATAAACCAAACTCTACAGCAGCATCAGAGTCGACCAGGACCTTTTTAGTGGTTGATGGTCTCAGTAGACCAGGCCAAGAATAGCTAAAAAACATAGCCCTGATTGGTTAGTGGTGTCTGTAATGGGACACTTTGGGTTGGGAAATATTGCAGCTTTTCTGAATGTCCTGCACTGCACTCCCAGTAAGGCTCTTCTGACTATAGAGGAAATAAACACTTTTTAACTGAGTGCTTCAATCATACTAACCAGAACCTCTGTGAACATGTTATAAATACTTTATGGTGCATCACACCAAAAAGCATTTAAGACTCCTGTATAGCTATAATAAATGAGTTAACAAATGAACAATCTGTCAAATGAATTGTGCTTTTTCTTCACAACTATTACATTAGACACAGTTGTTGATTTGTTATACATTTGTCTCAAAATTTATGTTGCATAGCTCTAAACTTTGAAGTCATAACATTTTTGTTGATTCAGAGATGCAGAAAGCCAGCTCCTGAACTATGGGCAGTATTTAAAAAAAGAAGAAGAATTTAAAGCAATGCATTCATCCCAAAGGGATATAAATATATATTTCATATTTATTATATATCATAGTTATGTTTCGTTTTTTTTTTTAAGATTTGTTGGGGATACTGATGGCTGTAGGCAGGAATGATCTCCGTAAGGGTCGTGATCGGTCTCTGACTGAAAAGACTAATGTGAAGCAGGCTGATGAAGAGGATGGTCTACTTTATATGCCCGTGGAGCTTCTTTAAGTAAAATATGTCAAATAAAACTAATAAACCTCATCTTAAAACACTTCAAATTACCATTACAGAGAAGGGGAAGAAAAATGTACTTCTTGTTATTTATAGTTCTTACAGAAATTGGCTAAAATCAGAATCAGCCGATCAAAGCTTTGCAAAAACTGATAATCTGTAATGATGAGGAACAAAATCAATGATCTGTGCATCTTCACTCAAAAACAAAAGGTTTGAGCATTTTTTATTGATAAATACAACTACAATCTTATATCCGGTATAAAGAAAATGCATGAAAACATAGTGAACTTTGTTTTCCTCTAATAACTAGAATAGCAGATAATTTTTAGGCACTTTAAGAGTGTAGGACCAGAGTACAGATAAAGACGCAGAGAAGATAGAAATAAATGTTTACTGAATGATTCCCTGGTCAGGACGACCTTTAGCTGTTTGTTTTTAGGACAGTCTTGTTTATTTTTCTAGCAGCTTTCAGCTGTTCTCTGTGCTTGTCCTGCTCCACCCAGCGCCACGCCCCTTTATTGAGTCTAATTAGCAACCAACAGGTTTATCACATCCAAATGGACATAATAAACACAGATCCTTTCTTATCCCTTTGATGTATTTCAATTCTGATTTCCGTCATGCTGTCAAAGCTTTAAAGTGTTTCCATCAGTCAGACTGATACAGACAGGCTGGCAGCTCCATCCGTTTACCCATCATTCTATAAGACGTTTAAAAGCAAACCAAAAGATGTAGTTTCTTCATTAATAACACCTTTAATACATACTAAATCTTCTTTGTTAATGCTTTTATGTTTATCGTGACTACAAATGCCGCATTTTTTTTATAGTTCAATCTTCTGACTTTAGGTCAGGCATGTTTTTAATGAAGCTTTCGCCCAGAAAGACAAACAGGAGCATCAGTCAGCGAAGCGACAACCAGTTAAAATGGCTTATGAGAAAAAATAAAATGTTCTCTATCGATAATAAGGTCGTTAAGGAAACGACTGAAATCATTTTAAAAGAACTGGACTGTTTAAAGCGGATGAGTGGTGATGCTTGTTTCCAGCCACAGTGGAACATCAACCCGCTAAGCGGCTAACAGTGCTAGCATCCTGGCTAACAGCGTTAGCATCCTGGCTAACTGACGTTACCTTGTCCTCTGATGGCTGCTGCTCTAACGGAGGGTCGCTGTCTTTGGCTCCTCGATGCCGCAGCTCTGCCATCTTAGCTGCTAAACGACAGACGTTGGCAGTCAAGGTCCAGAGGTCCCGGCAACACGCTGTATGCTGGATAAACTTTGCTAAGATTTTAGCTAAATGTGGGCAACACTTTTTTTTCTTTTTTTTTTTTTCCACTGGCAGAGCACAACCGATGACAAGGAGATGTTCCGGTTTTCAAAATAAATGTCAGAACAAATACAAAATCAAAGGGCTTCATATAAAAAGAAAAAAAATCAAAGATAGTTGATAACAGAACCAATAAAAAAAAAAAAAGAGCGGATGGGAACAATAATAAACATTACAGAGTCACATAAAGGGGAATAATCCAAATGTAATTAAAACAAATAGAAGGATGATGATGATGATGATGATGATGATGATGATGATGATGATGATGATGATGACTGTTCACGGTCTTATTGACAGTCACCATAATACATAAACAGGAAGCCAGTGCAGTGATTTACACCAGATACGCAGAATATTCTGAAAGGCAGCAGCTGCCTCCATCTGGTTAATATTATTACTTTTCATATTGTGAGAAAGAAAATCAGTAAAAAAAAAAAAAAAAAAATTGCATTTTTTTTCTGTCTTGTTTGCACGGAAAAGTATGAAAGCCCATTTCTGCCACTCTGATAACTTAGCTTATTCATTGATATAAAATGCTATGTGATTAGGAATAGTATCTCACAATTTTGTAATTGCTTAGTCTTGCGAAACACATTTGTTTGGGGGTTGTTTTCAGACTAGGGGTGTAAATCACACCCATCATGGCGATTCGATTCAGTATCAATTTCCTGACCCAACGAATCAATTATTTTCGATTCTCAAGAATACACCACAATACGATCCAATTAACTGGTAAAAAAAATTGTTTAGCCTTACAGGCTAGATAATGTTTCAAATTTGAAATAAATCAATGAAAGCTGTAATAGCGTTATGCATTTTATTTGAGAAACAACAGCAAATAACAGAAGTAGCAAAGTTGTACTCCACCTAGGCCTATGAAAACCTCATTCACTGAAAAATAATAATGCCTCTGTGTTATAGATTCCTAAAGGCCTTGAATCAAAAAATACTGCAAGCAGAAAGATGATAGCAAGTTAGGAGGGAAAAATAGGTTTAGAGCTACCGCAGCACGGGAGTCAGAATTACATCCAGCAGGGATGGGGGATCTGGAGTCAACAAGTCATGTCTTTGTCATGTATTTGTTCTACCCAGCCACTGAACCAGGTGAGTCCAATCTAGTTTAACCTGTGCAGATTGGACTCACCTGGTCAGAACAAATACATGACATAGAGATGACTTGATGACTCCAGATCCCCCATCTCTGACGTCCAGGAGCAAATGGATAAAAATAGATCTGAGGAAAAAAAAACATGAATTGATACTCTTGCGGACGTGTTGATGCATCGGATTGTCGGCTGTTGGATCGATACATCTATACAAAATCATTATTATTAGCACCACTATTTCAGAGTGGTTGAAATGAGCTTATTCTGGCTGAGAAAGAAAATAGGTGGTTTGAGAGGGGCGTGGAGGAAGCCATCTATGATAAGAAAGAAAAAACAACCTTAAACAGAGGGGGTGGACTCAGATTTCAGCTTTCAAAACCCTAAAGCAGTAATTGAGTTAAACCCTTCCCGCTGTCATTGGAACCCCAAAGCCTTTACAGGGGAACAAGAGACCCTACATGTGCAGCCAGGCCAACAATTCCCTTTAACGACCCCCTTTCAGAGACATAAATAGGTATGGAGCTTTGCAGGCTAACAAAAGAAGCCAAAATGAACCCCATTCCAAAGGGGTGGAACCGTTCGCCCGTTTCAATTTGCATGTTTTCTAAGCAAAAACAAGGCTTTCATGGGCTACTGTATAAAGCAACTCGATGCTATTTCTGATATTTCAATTAAAAAAGCTTCCTGGATGGGAAGCGAATGTTCTTTAAACTTGTAAACAAAGTCCAGTGGATTGTTTTTTTACTTTTTTGGAACTTACACTGGCAACACTTGTAAAGTTTTAGTTAGCTTATTTCAGAAAACACTTACTGTTTTTGACTGTTTGGACTAAAACCAAACAATTCCCACTTTTCTGCACTGACCTTTGACCAGTACAGTCTTAAATATTTTGAGCTTAACTTGATAACTT